GACATCTTTTTTTTTTCTTCTTTCTTTTTGGATGGCCAGTGTTGTGAATGTTTCACCTCTAGTTGACTCAGTTGGGCCCCAGATGAACTTGTCCTCTCCCCCGAGAAACGCTACTGACCGTGATATTCGCCTCATGCGACTATACAGTCAAATCTCGCACTATGATTTCGCTGATTTTTTATGTGTCACTTTTCCACCAAGTGACTTGTGCAGTAAATAGGTAATGAGAATAGTCATGTCCGGAAGGTGAAAAACAATTTCTTTGCCGATTTCCATGTCCCCCAGGCAATTCCATAACTATTTACCATCCTGTCAGATTTATCCACAAAGCCCCATATATGCATTGTTGTCTTCAGTGGCTTTATACCTCTGTGGAAAGACAAAATAATAATGTTTTAAAAATACAGTCAACTCTCGATTATCCGGGCTAATGGTGGGGATGGAAGTCACGGTTAATCGAAAACCCGGTTAAGCCAAATTTTATTATACGGGCTGGACGACTGTGAAGGGTCGGAGTTCGAGTCCCGGTAGGGTCAAGAATTTTAACTTCTCCAAATCGTCCAGACCGGCTCTGGGGTCCATCCAACCTCCTATCCAATGGGTACCGGGGGCTCTTTCCCCGGGGGTAAAGCGGCCGGGGCGTGAAGCTGACCACTCACCTCCAACTAGTGCCGAGGTCAAGAAAATTTGGATCTATACATCCACTCCCCCACACGCCTTAATGGCGTAGGGCTTAATTCGTTGAGCAGAGGAACAACTTTACCTTTTACCTTTTAATACCTTCATAATACTATAGACCTACCTGTATTTAAATTTATTCATCCTCATTTCTATGTCATCTCATGGCCTATTTAATACTTTCTTTACATTACACTCAGTATGAATTAGTTATTTCAATCACTGTTCAACAACATCCAGCACTTTTTACGGTCACACTTAACACTTAAAATAATTTAATACTGTCTTTTGCTTTTTCGCGGCATTTTCCTTTTTACGGATATCCGTACGAAGCCTACGTAATATTAGCTTGTCACTTAATAAACTGTCCTCTTCACTCTCAAGATAGTCTAGTAAGGATTCCAAATGATTAAGCGCAGCACCATGTGATACTTTCTTACTGGCAACACTGTCCACCTCTTCCTCATTCTCACTTTCTTCCCGCTCTTCTGGCTGCACCCCCATTGAAGTTACGATTTCGTCACTGCTTAACATTTCGAAGCCCGGTTCACACGAGTCACAGTTAAACCACTCTCTTATATTTTCCTCGTTGACTTCTTCACCACCATGAACTTGGTTAGCCACTTTTGTCAATTTTATGGCTATCTCATTTTCACTGAATCCAGTGAATCCATGGATTTCGTCATCTTCATTAGTGATGAAAGGCATCAGTTTCTTCCATGAATTTTTCAATACAGATGGCTTTACTGTATCCCACGCTGTTGAAATCTCGTATATGGCATCTAATACTGAAAAGGACTTCCAGAAACACGTCAGATCATTGCCTTCATCGATGTACTTTTGTAGCAAATTTGATCTGTAGATTCTCTTCATACTTGAGATAACTCCTTGATCCATTGGTTGGATAAGTGCGGTAACATTAGCGGGAAAATATTTCACAAAAATATTTCCATCATCTGACCTCAGGAGACTTTCGTTAGGATGTGAGGGCGCATTGTCAATGAGGAGCACAGCTTTCTCAGGTAGGCCTTGGGATTTTAGATGGTCACGAACTTGAGGCACGAATTTAAAATCAAACCATTCTTTAAATATCGCTCTATTCATCCAAGCTACTTTCTGGTTAAAATAATGGATAGGCAGACTTGAAGCTACTGTTCCTTTAAAAGAGCGTGGTCTTTTCGCTTTGCCGATAACTACTGGTATTAGTTTGTGTGTTCCTGATGCATTAGAACAGCACAAGACTGTCAATCTCTCCTTACTGGATTTGTGACCTGGAGCCTGTCTTTCATTTTGAAATGCCAATGTTCTGGTTGGCAAGCATTTCCAATAAAGACCCGTTTCATCGGCATTATAGATTTGTTCTGGCAGCAGATTTTCACTTTTCACAAAACTATCAAAATTGGTGCAAAATTGATCTGATGCTGACAAGTCCCCTGACAATTTCTCACCTTGAATACTGATTTCTCGTATTCCATGACGCTGCTTGAAACGTGTTAGCCAACCGGAAGAAGCGTCAAAACTCCCTTCTAGTTCAAGTGCTTCGAAAAAATATTTAGCTTGTTTAGCACAAACTGGTCCTGTTATTGTTGTTCCCTGTGCCCTTAGTTGATTAAACCAGGTCAGCATCGCTTTGTCGAGATCATCGTATGTTGATTTCTTCATGGTTTTTCTCTTCTTCATTCCGCTTGAATTAGAAGACGAAGCAAAGGAAATTAACTCATTCTTTTGTTTTTTCAAATCACGAACAGTTTGTTCTCCAATACCGTATTGCATTGCTAATTGTTTAACTACAGCTCCTTTTTCCAGCTGATTGATAATTTCAAGTTTCTGTTGAATACTTAACACAACACGCTTCCTTTTAAACCCCGACATTTTGCTAACGCACTTGAAGATCTATATTAAGAAACTGATACTTACTTTCACAATGCACTCTCACACTGAGATGGTACCGTTAAATAACCTGGGGCGGTGTATTTGTCCTTGAAACTTTCCAAAAATTCTTGCATTCTTTCACCCCCACCCTAGAACATTGTGTTCGCATAACGGGACGAAATAATGCAGAGCTCGGTTCACACTAGTGCGAAAATAGTGTTAAACTCACCATGTGAAACAAAAGTGAATGAATATTAAACAACATATAAACTTAAAAAAAAAAGCCCCGGTTAAGCCGCAAACCGGTTAATCCGCCCCCGGATAATCGAGAGTTGACTGTAAATAATTCACAATCTGACACTGGCTTTCTGACAGATAATTCACTACTGAAAACCAGTCCTTGAAAATGACCCACTTCCTTGCAGGCTCAATTAGCACTAATCTACATGCTCAGATGAATATTTACTTCTCAGTTCTCAGAACAAAGCTGTGCTCTATTTGGCATCATAAACAGTCATATCTAAACGTAAATAATATCCAAACCAGTACGGTGATGAACGATATCATTGTTCAGAGCTAAGGAATGAGCCACTGACTTGATCTTGCGTGGGTTTGTGGTGGTTTCAAGGGGAAGATCAAACTGTCAGCTCACCCAAAGAAAGCACTGTATTGCATTAGATAAATCTAACTTTTGGGCCACAGGGCGTTTACTTGCTGTTAGATACATTCATAGTTCAAGGTTACGATCTATCACAGACACCCTAAACTTTCTTTTTTATATAGTGTGTACTTCACAGAATGCAAGGGGAAAATATTTCCTGGTTATAATTTCGTGTCTATAGTGTAGCACCAGGTTTGAGTTGTAGTAAATGAACAGTCAGCCATATGAATAAGCCTGCATCTTTGCAAGCTAAATTTTGGAGGGTTTGCATTTTTTTTGCATACTTGTTATGAGACTGCACTAGAATGTCTTTATTTCCAGATATGGAACGATAACTGTATTTTTCTATTTAATTTCATAATACTAATATAAATACCCAGAGAATAATTTTATAGCTTTATATTACCTGCAGAATATCATTGTTTCTCTACTTTGAGAATGCAAGGTCTGCCAAATTACAACATGAAATATTTTAAGCTTCTTTTACTGAAAATGTCAAATATGTGACTCCTTTATGCAACAACCCTACCCGGTTATATGTTGTCAGGCATCTGGAACTCTCATCTACCCAGCAGAAATTTTGAAAAACACCATTTTTATGATGCACAAACACAAATTTTCAATGCTGTGCTGTAGTTCTTCCAGCTGCCACTAGCAGGGCTACATGTCACCTCTCATGTAGGTGTCATGACAGTAGAGGCAGCTGATTTTGTGACTGGATTACAGTATATCTGTACAAAATATATTTTACCTCAAAGTCTGAAGTGCTGCCTAGGAGACACGAAGGACAAAATGGAAATTTGTTTTGTTGACTGTGTATTCTGATGCAGACAGCAGATAGATGTTTTTGAGGCGGTTTGCCCTTCTACATTCTTAAAGCTCATAGCCAGGTTAGCACAGAGTGGTCCGTGCGCAGGTGGAACTATTGTCCGTAGGTACTTGTGGAAATGTTCCAGAGTCCTCACTATGGCAAGTAGTTCTCGTCAGGTGATGCAGTAGTTTCTCTCTGCTTTGTTTAGCATCTTGCTGAAGTAAGCTATGACACGCTCCTGTCTGGCCTGTATTTGGGAGAGTACTCCTGCAATTCCGACATTACTTGTATCTGTGTCTGTGATGAACCCCTCCCCTGGCTGGGGGTAGGCGGGAATAGGGGCGGCACATAGAGCTCCCTTTAGTGTTTGGAAAGCGGCCTCCACCTCTGGAACCCACTGGAAGGCCTATTTCTCTTTTGTTAATCTAGTTAGCAGTTTTACAATGTTGGCAAAACCTATGATAAATCGCCTGTAATATGTGCATAGGCCCAGAAAGCTTCTAATTTTGTGTTTATCCTTCAGGGTTGGCCATTCTCGAACGACTTTCACTTTTCCCGGGTCGGTTGATATCCCTTCTGGTGATACAGTATGTCCGAGGTACCTGACTTCTTCCTGCAGAAGTTGACACTTTCCTAGGTTAAGTTTCAGGCAGGCCCCTTGGAACCTCTCAAACACTTTCCGTAGGTTGAGCAGGTGCTCTTGGAATGTGCGACCTAATACGATCACATCCAGATACACGAGGCACAAATCATACGTGAGGCCTCGTAAGACTGTCTCCATTAGTCTCTCAGAGGTTGCGGGGGCATTGCAGAGGCCAAAGGGCATGACTGTGAACTGCCATAGTCCTTGACCTGTCGAAAACGCAGTCTTCTCCTCGTTGTCTGGGTGTACGTCGACTTGCCAATAGCCACTCTTTAGATTGAGAGTGGAAAACCATTTGGACCCAACCAGCGTGTCCAGGGTGTCGTCAATCTGTGGTAGTGGAAAGCAGTCCTTCTTGGTAATGTCGTTCAGCTTCCTGTAATCCATGCAGAAGCGGAGTTCTCCACTCTTCTTTCTGACCAAAACAACTGGGGACGACCACGGGCTGTCCTATTCTTCTATAACCCCTTGTCGTTGCATGTTGTCAATCATTTATTTCACTTCCGATTGTTTCGACAGGGGTACTCTCCTTGGTGGCTGTCGAATTGGTCGGGCTTCTGCCATGTCTGTTCGGTGATACACTTTGTCTTTCCTTAATCTTCGCTTTCCTTTACAAAGATGTCCACATACTCGGCCACGAGTTCCTCTAGCTCTTGAAATTTCGTGGTGGTGTTCGTTCCAATTGTAGCGGTTGTCGCGGTGATGGACGTAAGGTAACTCGTCACAGTATATTCTTTTTCTATTAGTAGTTGGAAACTCAGAGACTAGATCCAAGCTGAAACATGTTATATTAAAAAAATTTAATTTGGCCTGAGTGGTCATTGTATAGGAACAAGAAAGCCATGGTGTTCTGCAAATATCTATCCCAAAACCCAGCAATCCTGAATGTTCTACATTTATAGAAATCCTGTCAGTGCCATTTTTCAAATTGTTCTTTCTAGTTTCTGTTACAGCATTATGTAAAATGTTTTACTCTTGAGCTTGAATTCTGCCATACTAATTTCTTTTATGGTATAAAAGCGTGTATCCTTTTTTTCAGTTTCTGGAAAGAACTTATAGTAATTTTCTGTTATCAGTTTTGATGCTTCACTATCATATGAAATGAAAATTTGTAGCATTATATCTGGACTGCTGGCAGTATTTAGTTCTTACAATAAGAGCATTAGAAGATATGTTTATACTTTCTAATTACCTCACAACCATCTGTGAGTTATTGTCTAGAAAATGTGGGAACCTTGACATCTCACAACCTTGTGGGCCTCTATGGTCTGTTACAGGGATAGCTTTATCTTTTTTATTGAATTGTTATTGACCGAAATTCCTATTAAATTTAAGTCAGCTGTAAGACTTTCACAGTTAACTATTAAATTACTACGTATGACTTTTAAATTATTAGGTACACACACCACAGAGTTCATTACAGCATATCATAAAGATGCTCTTGTCTTTTTTGGATCACAATTTAGGACCAGAAGTACTCTTCAGGATTTTAACTGTTTTTGTACGGAGAACTCTGATTACAAGTAAATTGATTTTGAATGTCTCTTGATTCCATAGCCACCCTCTTCTGGGGTAGCAGTCTGTAACTTAAAAGGGAAAAGTACAGGCTTCAGTCTCTGTAACTGTACCGATTGACTTTTCATTAAATCAGATGACATTCAGACAAATGTTAAAGATAAAAACTGAATAAATGTTTTTTTACGTTAATATTATTCACAATGACGTGCCTTTTTTTTTTGAGAATGTCACCGAATAAATATTTTTTATGTTAATATTCTTCAGATGACATGCGTTTTTTTTTTTTTTTTAGAAATCTGTGCTGGTGTTTAACTCTCATATGAGAATTGAATGTGATTGTGTGGACTTAGTCACACAATTCACAATAAAATATAATCCACTTGAACTTGCTTTAGGCATTATTGAAGGGTTTGTATGTTGGTAGCTTGTTAAAATGGAAATATCACATAATTTTATAAATACATTTGCAGTATAATACCAAGACAAACCTCCAGCATCTGTCATATGGGACAAGTCTTTGTACTCTGCATTGAAGGTAAAATAATTTATGTTGACATATGTGACATGTGTGATATAAGTGTTTTTTATGACTATAGGGTGTGAAGTCTCAGGTAGATGGTTGTGTGTCTGAAGGAAAACTACTGATTTCCAAAACAAAGGACAAATACACCACAACACAGCAACTGGTTCCAATAGATATTGGCCAGCAAGTAAGTCTTTTTTTAACAGTTAGAACTGAAGCATAATTGTCTCCAATTCAAGTTACGTGAAGAAGGTATGCACATACAGAGATGAATATTGAAACCTTTGTTACTAATCAATAATATTGTAACATGTTTTGCTGCTGAAGACTCCGGATTGTTAACTGGTTTATTCAACAACCTACAAGTAACGGCTACAATTAATTATAACAATGTTGTAGGGTTTTACACTTTATAACCTTATTCGCAATAATCAATTCACACTATTGTCAGTAGTCAACACAGTTTCACAGTACGGGAGCTATACAAGTGTCCCTCTGTTACACACTCCCAATTAATTCTCAGTTACACAAACTGTAACTGATTATCACTGGTGTCAGAAGTGGGATTTGGACTTATACACGTGACCAACAAGATTCGAAATCAAGACACGTTACGCTGGTGTCAGGATTGTTTTACGAAATTAAACACGCCACAAACAGATTGTTGTGCATTGAATATTTTACTGCTACAAAATGGAGTTGTAATGTGGCCGTCGGCGAGTTCAGTTGTAGTCAAGTTAACTTGTAGCTGTCCCTGGAGAGAGGTAAAGTGTATCAGCGGCCGAAGACAGTTCTCCAGCCAGCAGTGAACGAGTTAGTGTGTTATCAACAGTTCTCCAGTCAGCAGACTACAGTTGGAGTATAGCAGCCGAACGATGTCTTCAGTAACGAAACACGTTACAATATATTAGTTATGAGCAACTACTCTTAAATATTGTTCTTAGAAACAGTGTGTGCTGGCCACCACTAAGTCCAAAAATGTTTGTACATTAGGTTACATAGAATGCATGTATGTTTTTTATTATGTGTTAAACGGAACTAATTAATAGTACTAAAATATTAGTGATAGAGGTAATGGTCTCTGTAGTTGTCTTCGTTGGAGCTTCTATCTGAAACTGTATCAGGAGCAATGGAGGAAAAAGACAGGGAATTGAAACGAGCCCGGACAGTGAGGACTGATTACAGACGTGCCATTGAAGAAATTCAGGGCTGGATTCAAAGTGCAGAGTTGAAAGTACAGGATCGAACAAGCGAACCACTTCAGTTAAAGGAAAATCTTTCGGTAAGAAGATTCTTGTGTCCAGTTTTAATTGAACTTAAAATGAGAATGAACATTAATATATATGTATCCATTTGTTCTGTAAGGGGCATTTACACTGTTCTGTGATGTTAAATGCATTTACCCTGCCTTCTAGCAAATACAAAGTGAAATTGGAGGTATTGGTGACAAATTGGATTGCCTTGCAAAGAGTGGGCACATAATCATGGATCAGACAAATAAGGATGAGGAACGGGATCTAATTAAAAGCACGATCAGCAATTTGTCAGAACAGCTGGCACAACTCAAGTCCTGGCTGGAGGAGAAAAAGCTCCAGGTATGAACAGCAGTGCAGTACTAAAAGTGTGCATTTTGTCAAATGTGAGAGTTAAATATATTCTTGGCTCTTTGTGCACAGCAGCAAAGTATGTCCATCCATCTGTCGATCTGCTTGCCCATCTGTATACCCATTTCTTCCAGCTGTTGTGAACTGCAAGATGGATTCTTGTGAAGAGTGGTATAGGACATACCATCTCATCATGATTTTAGATAATTATCAATATGGTTAAATTAAAACCACTGAAGTATGTATTTTATTCTGTTGTCTGTAGGGCATACAAGATTTTCCTTATGTATTGTTTTCTGCCATTCTAGGTTGGAGAATCACTTGATTCCTGGCAGCGATTCATGACATTGTACAAGGCAGTAAAATCATGGGTGGCTGAAAAGCAGACTTTCTTGTCCGAGCCTTTAGAGCTCAGCAGCCTTACACAGGCACGACAAAAACTGCATGACTATTCTGTGAGTATTATAATGAAACAGCAAGGAAAAGTGTGGAATAAAAGTATACGAGGGGGTACCCAAAAGAAACCGAACTTATTTTTTTTAAACTTATTTATTCAAATTTTAAGCACAAACCTTCAATTTCCTTCAAAATACTCCCCACTTACACTAATAGACTTATCTAGTCTTTTATTCCATTTTTCAAAACATTGTCTAAATTCATCTTTTGAGATGCTTGACAGCGCCTCCGTCGTTTTTTCCTTTCATGTCTCTTTTCATTTGAGGAAACAAAAGAAAGTCGCACGGGGCAAGGTCGGGTGAGTATGGAGGGTGAGGAACAGGTGTCATACCATTTTTGGTCAAGAATTGTCGTACAGACAGGGCTGTGTGAGCAGGGGCATTGTCATGATGGAAAAACCAGTCACCTGACTGCCACAAATCTGGCTGCTGTGTTCCAAGTCGCTCCCGACAGCTCCACAATTTCTTCAATGGTCTGTCATCGATCTTCCTTGATGATTTCATGAATTTTTTCAACATTTCACGTGTTTGGGCCGTGGAAGGACGACCAGAACGAGGTTTGTCATCAGTTAACATTTCACCATTTTTGAAATGGGGAAACCACTCAAACACTTGATTTTTCCCCATAGCATCGTCCTTGTATGCCGTTTTTAACATTTCTAGAGTTTCTGTTCCACTTTTCCCGGGCAAAAAGCAGAATTTCACCGCCGCACGCTGTTCACGAAAATCAGCCATTGCAAAAACGACGATCACACAAAACAGTTGTCACTATAAACTCTGTCGAAACTAGTCCTTACCTTCTGAAGCAACAGTAGTCGGCTTATCGACTCAGGAATGTTAGATCTATGCGCTCATAGTGGCAAAACGCGGCACTACAAAAGCTCTGCCCACAAAAAAATAGTTCGGTTTCTTTTGGGTACCCCATCACATAGAGAATACAAAAAAAGTTATGTTGCTTTTTCTTTGCATTTTTTTTCACAATGTTAATTATTTTGTAATATATAGATACCTATCATTAGAATTCAGAACAAAATCTAGGTATAAAAGTCGGTGATGAGTTTGCGAAAATATGTGGCATAGTATATATATTTTGTAATGATGGTAACAGATCAGAATTGTGTTTATAAAGAAGTAACAGAAAGCATTTAATGGAAATACTCAAGAAATGTGTTTAACACAAAATTCTGAATATAAATAAAATTAATGGTACAGTATGGCAGCAAAGTACCAAATTTGAGAGCTTTGAATTGTATATACAATTTTGGAAAACCAAAAGAGAAGAGACCACTTGACAGACTTAGACGTGGATGGGGGATAATATTAAACTTAAAGAAATGGGTTGAAGATGTGGGCTGGGTTCATCAAGATCAGGTTTCGAATCAATGGCAGGCTTTTTTGAATTCATTACTGAACTTGTAGCTTCCATAAAGGGTGATGAATTTCTTGACTAGCTGAGTGGCTACTATCTTTTCAAGAAGAGCTCTCAGCATGGATTTAGAGAAAGAGGGGGGAACTTAGCAGAATATGAAAGAGCCACATAGACACCAACATTTCAGTTACATTTGCTGCCCATTCTTCTCAAATTTTTCTTTTTCTTGACAGTTTGGAAGAAATTGTTTTTACTGTTACAATTTTTTTTATTTGGAGTTGTGTTCAGATATTATATTTGTAGTTTATTTAATGTAAGCTTCTTTAATTGTTTTAATTTTATGTGTAGATTGCAGTGAAAAGCTGTAAGCAAGTAACCAAGAACCTGAGTGACATGAGTAAGGAGTTGGAGACTATTGCCCAGGTAACGAGTGTGGGAGATCTTCCAGAAAAGTTGCAGGAGGCTGAAGAAATGAAGGGTGAAGTTGAAAATCATCTTCTTGAAAGAGTAAGTAAAAGTGGAGCTTAAGAAAGATGGCTTAAGTATTTCAGCTAGTAGAGCATTGTCACAGTAGGACCATTTTGGTTTGTGGAAACAACTTATACTGTGCTGAGAAAAGTTATATAATGTAATTTGTGTGTATATAATAGTGATGTATTATTTAATTGAGTTTAATAGTGCTGTCTTATGTAATTGATCTCGTGTTGTTTTTGCAACAGCTTGAAAGTAACTGATTACCTGTACTACAATAGAAATAGAGAAATTGATAATTAGTTCCCATCTGAAAAGTCTATGAATCCCTTGCCATAGAAACATAATTAAAAATTAACTTTTTAACGCTCAAATTATGACTAATGGATAAAATGTAAGTGTATTTCTAAAAGCTCCACAACGTGATTTTCCCCAACATGTTTCTGCCTTCGTTTTCATCAGGGGCCTAGCATCCACCATTAGCTAGCTAAAGAGATAACATAGCATGATATATTACTGAAGTAAAAACAAGTTGACTAATTGAATTGAATTGAATTGAATTGAATTGAATTTATTTACATTCTATAAATCCTAAGCAGGTTAGTACCTTTGGATACAGAACAAGTCAAAAGGTTACATACACAAGTACAGGTAATTTTAGCTTAAAAATTAATATAGCTTAATTTTACATCATTCTCTATTTACATTGAAGTATTCATCTAAAGAGTAGAAGGAATGAGCATGTAGATAATTCTTTAACTCTGATTTAAACTTTTTAGTATCATTGCCCAAGTTTTTAATACTTTGTGGCAGATTGTTGAACACTTTTATGCCAGTAAAGTAGACTCCTTTTTGATATACTGATAAAGTTGATGAGGGTAGGTGGAAGTTATATTTTTGTCTAGTATTCATGTTATAGACATCAGAATTTAATTTGAATTTATCTTTGTTGTAAACAACAAATAAGAGAAGCGATAATATGTATTGCGATTGAAGAGGTAGAATTTTTAATTTCTTAAATAATTCTCTACATGAATCTCTACTTCTACATCCTGTAATGATTCTAATTATATTCTTTTGTATTTTAAAAATTATTACACTATGTGAAGAGTTCCCCCAAAATATTAATCCATAGTTCATAATAGAATGAAAGTAGGCATGGTAAACCATCTTCAGTGTTTCCTGTGACATAAAAGGCTTAATTGATCTCATCGCATAGCAAGCTGCATTTAATTTAGGTATAATTTGTTCAATATGTATTTTCCAAGATATGATGAAATATATATATAATATATAAATATATAATATATGATTTGAAATGGGATATGAATAATATAATAATGAAAGATTTCTCTATAGTGTAATATTCTCATATACATATATATAGACTTGTATATAATAATAGAAATGATTATACTACTAAGATATTTAATAGTTACAAATTATATATGAAATACTGTTTATAAGTCACCTATTACAAATATGGCAGTAGTACAAACTTTTAATGTTATATTAGGCTCAATTAACATGTTATTCCAGGTGTTCATGTTCATTTACTTCAAATTCAAGCAGATCCAGGTACAGGTTTAGAAGTATATACACAAACCACTGGATATAGAATGAGTCACATATCAGAACAGTTGTTCCAATTAATCATTGGAACAAGTTTAGGCAACACAATGTAAAATATACTTAACACACACACATAGAACATAAATATGATTAAAAAAATCGACTGCAAATGAAGAACATATTAACCGTACAATAAAATTCCTCCAGTTTGTAAAAACAGTGCAACACCAGATATCTTCTTAAGGAACTCTTAAAAATTTTAGGCATCTGTACGAGCTCTTTTATTTCAAGTGGTAATTTATTACAAATTTTAATGCCAGTGTAGTAAACACCATTTTGATACAATGATAGAGAGGAAGTAGGAAAATATAAATTTCACAGTCATGTCTGTACATAATGCCTATCATAATTAGTAATAGAAAGATTCCTGTTCTTTAGAACAGACAACAGGATTGAAAAACATATATTGAAATTTCAGTGGTAAAATCTCTGTCTTAAAAGATCCCTACATGAGGTCATTCTTCCATATCCTGTCATTAAAGGAACATCTCTTTTTTGTAGCATAGAAAGTTTTTTGCTATTGGTAGAGTGACCCCAGAATATAGTACCATAAGATAATATAGAATGAAATAAGGAGTAATAAATCATTACCAGTGATGAAAGAGACATATACGGTTTGACTGATCTGATCATATAAGAAAAACTGGTTAATTTGTTTAAAACATTGTCAATATGCAAATTCCAGGATAATGATTTCCTTGCTTTGTATCATTCATGTCTTGTTTTTAAAGAACGCATTACTACAAGAAACAAGTGAAGAGTGGGAGCAGTGTGAAAGGAAGATGAAAGATGTCCGATCATTTATTGACAAGTCTCGCCAAGCTCTAGAATCTCCGCAGAACAAAAAGCGACCACTGCGTGATCAGCTTGGTCTCCGTGAGAAGATGCTGTTAGATATTCCTATACAGAAGACAAAGCTTTCCATCTCTGTAGAAAAACTCCAGGTATGTTGTAACTAGTTAATTACATGATCTTTATATTAAGGAAGATTTTACAGGGGTATTCATGGTTTATTTTTGGGCATGAGATGTCATCAAGTCATTGGTTTTGTGTTTTATGTAGGATCAGGGATGAGAAATAATTTAAAAAGTTGAATGTGACGATGGAAGGCAAACTTTTGAATTTTCTGATTCTAGATTATATCTATATAACTTTGCTTCTAGGTACAAAATAATTGGATTATTCTCTTGGCATTCAAATGTTCTCCTCAGGAATTATTTCATGATGGCAAATTACATTTGTCACCCATATGATGCTTTGGTGGAAAAGTGAGAGACTTAAGAAAGTTCTGAACTTGATAATATTTACTTTTTGAGCTTATTCTCTCAATTTTATTATGAAATTGTAATATACAATTTTCATTCCTTTGTACTTGAAGTTCACCCTTTTCACCATAGGAATGTATGTGTACCTTTCTTTATGTTTAGACAAATATCTTGGCTGGTTTTTAAAGGGGATTTCTATAGTGTTAATTACAGCATTATTGCATTTCGCTTTAAAATTGTCATATGTTTCCATTAGTAACGAAGGTGCCATAGTTCCATTTCTGTAGGACTTTTCTCTGATGGCAGGTTGATGAACAAATTTAAAAACAGTGGTGACACATATACAAAACTATAATTTTGCCTGTGGATCTGTATGGGTGTGAAACTTGGTCTCTGACATTAAGGGAGGAACATAGACTGAGGGTGTTTGAGAACAGGGTGTTGAGAATATTTGGACCGAAAAGAGATGAAATGACAGTAGGTTGGAGAAAACTGCATAATGAGGAGCTTCATAACTTTGTACTCTTCTCCAAGTATAACTAGAATGATCAAGTAAAGGAAGATGAGGTTGGCAGATCATGTAGCATGAATGGGGGAGACGAATGCGTATAGGATATTGGTGGGAAAGCCAGAAGGAAAGAGACCACAGGGAAGACCAAGGCATAGGTGGGTGAACAATATTGGAATGGATCTTAGAGAGATAGGATGGGATGGTATGCTTGGATAGATCTGGCTCAGGATAGGGATCACTGGAGAGCTCTTGTGAACACGGTAATGAACCTTTGGGTTCCACAAAATGTTGGGAAATTCTTGAGTAGCTGCAGAATTGGCAGCTCCTCCACATGCCATAATGTTATTGTCATTGCCATGTGCAGTAATCTCACAACAATAGAAGAACTGTTGATGGTGGTCTTTTCTGTTCGGTGTAACCCGAGGCCATATAATGAGTTGCCATCAGCAGTTGCAGTCAGTAGTATTTGTTGGCCAGTGAGAGCCATTGGGTAGTTGGTCATGGGTAGTGATGCCATGAGTTAGTTGTGAGACAGTCACCAGCTGGAAAGGACATAAGCAAAGGACACTGCTGGGATATTACCTGACAACAGCTGTAGAAGACATAGTGTGTGCTGTAGTGGGAAGTAGAGTGTGTGATTTAGTGAGATTGTTGTAATTACATGTAGTTACAGTTTATAAGAGTCCAGTAAATCCAATTACCAATCCAAACCCTGTGTCTAGTCTCTAGCATACTAACTCTGAAGTATAACTGCATAGGAAATGTGAATCTTGCAACAACTCCATATGGAAAATGCTTATATTCCAGATAAGCTGCGTTACTAACATGCAATTTTTATTTTAATAGCTGCATTTCCGCTCTGGTGTTGGTGGTGATTCGAAAGTAACCGAGGCTGCAGAGGAGATTATCAAAGAACTTGACCAATTGACAGGAGCTGTAAAGGAGCAGACAACAAGTTTAGAAGCCTGTCTAGCTCAGTTGGATCAATACCAGCAGGTAACATTCAGTTCTAAGCTGATGAGCTTACAACAGATCTTGTTTATTCTGGCTGTGTATATGATATCTACACTGAGATATGAAAGCTGTATTTGAATTTCATTCTTTCTGTTTGCCACTTCACATCCAAAAATGTCATACCTGCTGTTTCATGTGAATCATTCATAATTATCAGTTTCTGAACAGTATTACGTATAAATAGAATGCTCATATGAATCATCTGTCTTCTGGAGCATAATGCTGTGTAGTGTGTTGAAAATCAACCACTGTTTTGAAGGAACATGTGGCCTCAATCTTTGGTTTGAGTAATTCCTCCAGAACATTGGTTGACCCCAGCAGACTACAAGTTACATCTCAGATGATAGAATGCTTCATGACCGCTACTTTGAGGAATTCAAATCTTACATGAACGCTCTTTTGTTATGCTGGCTACTGTGGAAGTGTACCACATTAGAAAATGTTGGATTCTTTAATTTTTGTATTTTTTATTTTCTTTACCTGAGCATGATTACGATTTATTCTTCAGGAAATTCAGCAACTAAGGCAGCAAATAATCCAAGTTGAACAGCAGCTTCGTATTGTGCTCAGCCCTACATACTCCCCTCATAATCGTGACAAAGCTGTGGAAGAACAAAATGTGAGTACCATATCAGCATTATTCTGTTTCATGGACTAGATCGAAAGAGGTCTGGTATAACTATGATATATAATCCTCCATATGATTGACTGCAATATAACATTTATGCAGTAAAAATTTAAGTAGGACTGAAATAATTGTAACTTTTTAATTTTGATCTGGCAGCTATGTATGAGTTTGTTTCCATAATAATCACTTCAGTGCCACTTCTTGTTTGTTCATTCTTTCCAACATTACTTAACCTTTAGTGTCTGACGTGCACTGATGGTACAGTGATGAGTATGGTCATCATGGCCAAAGTACCCCGATTTGTGCAGTCGGGCATTTAAATGCTGATGACGGAAGCGTATGTACACGCCGCTAGTAGAAGATTGTGCACAATCCTAACTATTTATTTTTAAATATAGCAAAATTTGATATACATACTTTTCTTTTTATGTGCTCGACGTATATACAGGCTTCAACCCATCTTTCATAACTGAATCTCGCCTTTGTGTAATACTCCTTTAAGCACCCAAAAAAGCACAGTCCCACATCACATATCTTGCATTTCAAGTGCGTTTCAATTTCATCATCTTCCAAACAACGTTTCATTGCCATTGTATGATAAAATGAAACTACATTATTCAAATTCACTATAAACTCACAGAAAACTGAATGCACTCTGTATCTCAGCTGCGATGCAAGCATTGGGTTGTAACCACAGAAAGGGCAGTATTCTCTTGCAGCTGCAATGGGCAGGGCTTGGCACTGAAGTAGGGAACAAATGGCCTTGCTTGAAAGGCCCTCTTTTCACTTTTCTGTCCTTTAATTAAAAGAATGGAATATTTGAATGGTGTAACAAAGGTGTGAAAATTGCCGATAGAGAACCAAATGACTTTATTGCTTCCAGCTGTTTTATGGCACCAGAGAATGGGAAAATATTTCAAGTGTTACAAGCAGGAGTGATTTTATAATATAGAACTACTATGTGAAGAAGTGGGAAACTATTTTTACAGTATGCATAAAAATTACAAGAAAAAATTAGAAGGATTTTGTAACTTTTTTGTTTACATATTTTCAAATCTTACATTATAGTATGCGACAGTGTGTTCTTTGCTGATAAAAACAAATTTAATTCCATCCATTTATCAAAAAAATTGTGTTAGATACAGCATTTGCAACTACAATGCAAGCTCCCTAACAGGAACAAACATTTAAACACAGAGCAACAATGGGCATTTAAACACGCACCAGCAGTGGACATTTTTATAAACTCCGGCCAGCTCCAGCTACCACCATTTCAAAAGATCAGCGTTTAAAGGCTAAACATATCCATTCTTTGTTCTTGGTTTGACAGGTGAAATTTACAGGAATGTGGAATAATTGGTTAATTGATGAAGAGAACAAAGGGAATTGAATTCAGGTGACTTAGGTGTGAACCTCTTATCAGTTTGGACCTATAGTAAAATTTACAGAAAAATATGAAGATTTTTTATAATGTTTAAAATATCATTGAATGAAGTTGTTTTATATTCATTTGTATTTCCTGCATAGGCATTAGCTTTTGAGCAGTGTCAGCAGGGTTAATGATAGTTGAGTGAAAAAGTTAAAGTGGATATTTATTAAGAATTAAGGAAGGACTGAAGCTTGTATGTAGTTGAAGAATTGGAAAGTTACTGGAAAAAGGAAGATAATACTATAACTCTTTGTTCTTAAATATTAATTGAGATTTTAGCCAATTTATTATTAATAATTATAAAATTCAGTTCCTATGTATGCACATGTAAAATAATTTTATTTGCTCTTAGCTCTCTTTTGAGAGCAAGTGTGAAATAGCTTCATTTTCTCTATTTTATGTTATGTCTGTCAGCCTTTCCTTCATTTTTGGAATTTTTTGAGCATTATGCCAACTGTGGCTCTAATTGAGGACATGTTGGAAGAGCAGAAATTTACCTCACGCCTGAATTAGGATGCTTCTGTAGCAAACTGAATTAATTAGTTAAGAATGTTTTTAGTGAAGTTTCTTGTAAATTCAAATATGAAATGTTAATATCCAAACTAGGCGTGTTTAAATGAATACACTTCAGTTGTGTGAATTGACGTGTTATATAATGACAATGAACTAACTAGAAGCCATGAAGTGGTTAATCATCATATTGCAGAATCCTCTGGAGTGATAACATGTTACTGTTTGCAGGTGCCTAAGTTTATTTCAGACACATTTAGTGTTAAAAATGAAACCGACTCATACAAACATTGGTTATTTAATGTAGTCTTGTGAAACAAATAAAACACAGAAAACCTGGAAACATTTTGATGAAGGACTTGTTTATTACATCAGATGGTGGCTACGTGATCATTTCATCAAGGTGTTTCCACCAGTCCTTCAAACCTTGCAGCTGGGATTATTACAGTTCTTCTTTTTTCTTACTTGCTAAATGCTCAGTGCACCACTTTTAATTTTTGGATCTCTTTCTTTCATAGTTCATATTGCATATAAGTTTTCTTCATGATGGTATCTTGGGTTCGCTTTGTTATTGGTGTGGGGTTGTTTTTTGGGGAAATGGTTTAATATATATATATACTTTTGTGGCAAATATATTTATTCTTATTCTCTTATTACATTTGGTATCGTCTATATATTCATTTGAAGTAGAGTTCAGGAGCTTTTAAAGATGTTATAGTCACCTGTCTGAATTAGTTTTGGGTTTTCTTACTTTGAATTATTCTGACACATCTCTTTTTGCTGCACTCCTGTCCACTCCCCCATCACTGATGCAGGCTTGCCGAGAGAGAGTTCTAGTCTTGCAGACCAAGATCAGTGCTCGTAATGAGCGCATCAAGCTTCTGATACAGCGGGCAACTCCTGACCTGGAGCCCTTAGACTCTTAGCTAAATCTCTCCTTCTGCCTGTCTATTCACCTGCTGCTTGTTCGTGAATCTGGAAACTTGCAAATTGTCGTTTGAGATACACATCCAGTGTTATAGAAACAACAAGAAATATCTGTTCCTTGAAAAGTCAGCAAGGAATGGACAAAACAAAAGCCTGGAAAAAGATTGAAAGTGGTAATACACTTGGATTGAAATGTGAAACGTGGCCACCAGAATAGGAAGTAGAAAAAAACTGATGCAAGACCTTGTATTTTCAACAAAAAGCAAACACTTTGTGTCTGAAATTCTTCAGTGCTTTCAGTGTTAATGATATATATGTATATATACATATGTCACCCTACTCTCGGACTTTACTCTTGTTTTGATGGACCGGTCACATTACTGCAGGGCCTTCATCGGGACATGGACTCCTACCGGGAGCAGATCCAAGCCCTTGTGGACCGGATCCATCAAGTGGATCCATACATGATCATCCTTCTAGAGAAAGTAGAGCAAGGGAATGAAAATGACCAAGAAAGTCATGGTTTCAATGGCAGTTTTCATATTGCTGATGTTTCTGGTGGAAATATGAGACACCAGAAGAGCAGTCAGCAGCCAGCAGTATCAAAGGTTACAGATCTGTGTGTTCCTATACCATCATCTGCCACATATGCAGACATTGCTGCTGGTCGTACAAGTCCCTGCCCATTTGTAGAACAAGTTGAAGAGAAGGATGACAAAATGAAACATCTTCCAAGAAAAGCTGTCATTTCTAGGACAGTTATGGAGATTAAAGATACCCCAAAAGAAGACAAAATTCCAGAAATGTCTGATGAAAGAAAATTTGAAGATGTATCAAGAAAAGATGATGAACCAAAGCGTATAAAACTACATGACCTGAAAACTCCATTAAAGCCTTCTGAAAAAATGCAAGATATGGGAGCTTCATTTGTGAAATCCACAGTTTCTCTGCAGTCTGAAGTACAATCTGTTTCTCCCAAAGTTGAAACTGCTGTATCTCGGGGAGAGAAATCTCGGCCATCTCGCCGTGGTCGATCTCAGCAACGGAAGGATGCTCAAGAAAGAAAAAGTACCGATAAATTAAATGCACAGAACACCAAAACACATCCTGATAAATTAATATCTCTTTCTGTGAAGCCTGAAGCCCACGATGTGGAAGTTGTTCCACCTGAAGAAGCTCAGTTACAGCACTCTGCTTCATCAAAAGTAACAACCTCAGAACGGGCGCCAGTGCATAAAAAGCATCACCATATTGTGCTGAAGCAGCCGCATGAGACCCTGAAGCCTCAGGTTGGTCGTGGGAGGTCTCCAAGTCCAATGTGGAATCCAGGTTCTACTTCATATGCAGACATACTGCGTGGTAGACAAGTTTCAGAAGGAAATGAAGAAACTACTTTTGTGACAGAACTTCGTGAAAGTAACATTTCTACGACAGAAAAGAATGATGTAAATGGGAGGAAGGTGCAAGAGAGTTATGGAGACAAATATAATTACCAACAAGAAGATTGGAGCTTACCAGATTCACACAAAACTATGGCAAACTTCCAACAGACAGAAGAAGTTTTTGCTCCAGCAGCAGATGAAATTCCTACACAGACTATAGAAGATTATGGCATGGATCAGACATCAGAGATGGGAGATGTAGTAGAAAAGATAGCACCAAATGAAGTAGTGGACACTGGGACATTCCTTGAAGAAGAGGTCATCCCATCTGTTCATGAACATGATGTGAGTGGTGTTACAGTGCCTCCAGCTGTGTTTGAATACATTCAGCAACCGCCACCTGATCTGGTGGGCTTCATTGCTTCTGGTCAACAACTTCTTAATTCTGGTTTGGGAACATACCACACATCGGCTCACCAGTATGTAATGAGTCATGATGGTGACCAGTCTTTGGTTTATCCTGTAACTGTTACTGCAGCACAGCAACCTGGCAGCCAGTATGAAACCCTCACACTGGATTATGTTCAGCCTTCTATTGACTCAGTTGCCTACCCAACACCAGTTCATCAGGACTTTGTACCACAACAATATGATTTATCGCAGCAGGCTGTGCTGTCTGATCCAGATATAACTTTGTCGCCTGAAGTAACTCCTATACATGATGCAAGACAGTCCAAGAAAATCAGATCTGGTCATCATAGTCAGACTGAAATGATGACTTTTATCAGCACGTCAGTAGTGGATGAAGAGATAAAACCTGTGACTGTACATAAAATTGAAAGTGATCATCAGGCAGGAAGTACTGATGGTGTACAGACTGAAGGGGATAAGTGTCAGTTGTCATATGCTCAGATATTAGCTCAAGGATTATGTTCAAAACCACTCCAGCCATCCAGTCAGGCAGTTAATATGTCTGTAAACAGAAACGATCGAATACAATCATCACGACCAACTTCTCCAGTGACAAGCTACTCTCGAGAATTGTCTGCCTCTCCTTCCCGTGATATTTCGTCCACAGTAAGAGAAGAGGTGACAGAATCTATTGTAGCTGCAGATAGAATAAACGCTCCAAAATTGGACAGAAGAGCTATAAAGAAAAAGAAAGATAAAGTGAAGAAAGAAGTTGATGGTTTAATGCAAGTTCATAGCCCACCATCAGGTGACCAGCAAAAGCATAAATCTGGAAAGAACAAACAGAGGAAGAAGGATACAGTGCATACCAATTTTGAATTTAATGGAAAGCAAGAGCTTGTGGAAGAGAATAGAGAACAAGTTCCAGTTGTTCAGACAGGAGCTGCAGCTGTTGCCAACATTGGAGAGCCCCTTACGGTTACATCTGGTAAGAGATCTGTAGCTGACAACAGCTTGGCTTCAGTCAAGGATAGAAAAGATGGATGTAAGAAATCAAAACTGTTAGGTGATGTTGAACAACAAAATGTACATAGCAAACCTGTTTCACAAATATCCCCACAAAGTAATGAACCAATGGAAATGAAAAAGGATGATGCACCAGAAGAAATACCAGAACAGTTGGAGGTCACTGATGATAAACAAGGTGCATTACTAGATCAAGAAAAGAAGAAACGTCAAAAGAAGAAGAAACTAGGGAAAAACGTCGGTGAAGATGAAATTGAGAAGGCATTAAAAGAAATTGCTATGATGGAAATGACCTGTAGTAAACATAAGAATAAGAATAATGAGTTACCTCAGGAAGCAAAGGTAGAAGTGACAAAACCCGATAAGGAAGATAAGAAGTGCAAAAAGCTAAAGTCTCTTACTCATATAGATAATGCAAGTGCATTAATTCATGAGGCAGAACCCAAGCAAATGGCAACTGTGGTTTCATCTTTTGAAACAGCCACATTAATTCAGAGCTCAGATTGTCAAGGTAATATTACCGAGCTCAAAGAAAAGCAGAATAAAAATCCGGAAATTTTGCCTGGTATAGTCTGTGAACAGGAAGATGTAAATGTAGACATTCCCAAAATTGAGCATTTGAAGAAAAAAAAGAAACGTGGAAAGAAGTCAATTGGATGCAAAGATAATAAACATATAGTAGGAGAACTCAGAATGCAGAACAGAGAATGTGAAATTGATGACATTGAAACTGGACAGGATGTACTGTGTACACAGAAATCTGAACCATTCGCAAAGAAGCAGCATGAAGTTATAGAAGCAGGAAATATAGTTGAAGAGCCTGTAGTTGTGGAGCAAGGAGTTTCAGAACATTTTCCAGAAGGAATCATTACGGCAGAGGATGAAAGCACCGGATATTCACAGTTTGGTCATGCTGAGATTGCCAGTGAGGAAGCCTACATACCTCCACCAGATTTGTTAGCTGATATTGAACTTGGCACTGAATTGCTGAAAAGCAGCAGATTTATATCAGGAATGGATTCTGACATTCCAGCAGATGTAGACTGTAAACAGAAGGAAACAGATCCTAGTATAAGAAAGAAAGGTAGAGAATTGAGAGATACATCATCACCTGTTTTAAATAAAGGAAAAAGAGGTATCAAGAAACAAAAAATTGGTGCAAAACTGCCCAGAGAAGAAGTAAATAAAATTGATGGTACATCTGTTATGGTTGAGAAATCTCATAATATAATAAAATCTGTTCCCCAGGAAGAGCAGCTAAAGTCAGAAAGTAAACCTTCTCACCTAGCACCCATTGTCATAGAAGATAAGACTGACACTTTACAGAAAGGCAAAATTCATTTGCAACTGAAAAAGACAGATGGACCAGAGTCACCAATTAAGGGGAAGAAAAGTAGAAAAGCTGCTAAGAAAGGAATATCTAAACAGTGTGAATCTCCTCACAACCCTAAACAAGAACCTGTAGGAGCTGATGAAACTTCTGGTCTATACAGACAGGGGGGTAGAGATGATTTGGGCAGTGATAATGACATTTCAGGGAAAGAGTCAACCAATGTCACGGACAAGAAAATATTCCTTAGCACCAATTTAAATGGAATCCAAGACCGAGATGCTAGCAAAAGTGACATAGTTTCCAGGAAATCTAGAAAAGTTAAACAGCCGAAAACTGAAGATAAACCTAATTTAATAATAGAGAAACAGCATTCAATGGAGCAGAAGCCTGAAAGGAATGATAATGACGAGAAGAATGATAAAAAAATACTACAAGAAATACCTGACAAATTTGCAGAACTCTCAATCGGTATACCTGAACCTTTGGATGTTGCGGTAGAGGGAATGACAGTTCCTTCAGATCTGGGAGTAGCTAATGCTGATACTTATGTTGTGGAAGTGGTAACAGATGATGTAACAGTGGAGGGAAAATCAGCAAAGCCATATAAATCAAATTCCGCTGTTGTGAAAACCAGTAAAGAACAAAATAGAGGTAGAGATGATACCACTAAAGACCAGGATGTCAGCCTATTTCTTACAGGAGCAAAAACAGGTAGGACTGGTTTAGAACAGCCATCTGACAAAGGGAAGCGAAATTCGAAGAAATCCAAGAAACAGAAAGCAGCTGCATATGAACAGAAGAAATCCAGTTTGTCTTTTGAGTTTGCTAATGTAGAAACCAATGAAAATGAAAGACCAGAAGTTAAGGATAACAAAATAATGACTCCCAGAGACCTTATTTCTAATACAGATAACATATCTGCTTTCATGCCACTTGAACATACATTTGCTAAAAGTACCAAAATCAGTAAGAAATCTAAGAAACCAAAATGTAGAGTTTCTAAAGAAGAAAAGGATGAAGATTTGTCAAAGAACATAAATGTAGTACATAACATTCCTGACATGCCAGTGATAAAGACAGAAGAAGATTTATCCTTACATGATACAGAGAATGATCCTCAAGATAAAATCTCTGAACCATTTAAAGAATCGATTCCTTTAATTTCTGGTGGCATTGGGGAGCAAGATGCTGACCAGTGCATGAAATGGGTTGCAGAGACAGAAAATATTCAAGCACAAACTCCTGTAGCGATATTGCCTGAGGAAGCAGAAGCACAAAGTGAAGTTGCTGCATTGTTAGAGGAAAATTTGGATGAAAAATATTCCTACACGCATGAAATGCCTTTGTCTGAACGTGAAGTATTCGAGAGCTATAATGAGAGTCTTCATGAACACGATAAAGAGATATTCATCTCAACACCAGGACAAAGAGATGAGAAACTTGAAAGCATTGGAGATGAAACTGTTTATAAGTCTGACCCTAAACACAAGGACACAACAGATGACAGTGGTGATGAGAACCTCAATAATCAGGAACATGATATCTACTTGGTGTCAACTCAGGAGAATATGGTTCATAGAGGCAATGAAATACAGGAAGAAAAGACAGGTCAATTGTCACGTGAAGAGAATGTTTCTCTGGATGCTGTTTCAAAGTCTAAGAAATGTGATAAAAAAATGAAAGCAAGACGTACTACAAATGTTCAGCCAGTTAACCTTCAAGTAAATATCCCTCATAAGAGTGGTCATGAAACTGAGGATATTTGTTCTACAGTGTTATCACATTCTTCATCTGAAATTAAGAAACATATTCTAGGAACATCTTTAGTTCAACATGGAACATCACAAGTAACAGAAAATCTAGATGCTATAGTTCTGACACCACAATGGATGGCAAAATCACCTGTGAATTTATCAAGTGAAGATCCTTTTAATTTGAAACAGTCCGATATATTTGACTTAACTGATCATTCGGTGTCAGATATTTCTCATGTACACCAAGCCGCCAATCAGAATCATGGCAATGATTCACCATTAACTCAATCCTCAGTTTCTTTACCGCACCGTCAAGTTGTATTACCAATGTCTTCATCTTCAGTTAGTTCTAATTTTGGACTGACACAAGAAATTTTGAACGCACAAGAAGAGACTATTAATATAGAACTACATGGTGTTGATAATGCAGGAATTTTTGGTTCAGTCAAAGAAAGACAAAGGAAACCTCGAAAGATTATTGATACACTGACCGTAGATGAGAAGGTAGTAAAATCAATAGACATTTCCACCCCTCTTACACAGGAAAAGAAGAGAAAACCTCCCAAATCACCAGTAAATGAGGATACTAGAAAAAGAGATGGAAAGGTTAAAATGGCAGAAGAGCCCAAAGATTTGGAAGAGCATGAAGAGTATAGAGCAATGAAAGATAAGATGAAGAAGAAAAAGAGGCGCCCCAAAATACCAATTGAGTTTACAAGTCCTCAGACCAAAGTAGAAAATGATTTAGAAGCTGTGAAGGTAAATTTGGATGTTAAAACTGCAAAGAAACATGAACCTGATGAGATTGTTGAGTCAGAATCTGAAGTAGTACCTGTGGTCACAGATGTAGATTCTTTTCATCTGCAGAATATTGTTAAGAGTGATTTAAAAATTGGAAGTGATCTGGCCTCAGCATATTCTCAACCAGTGTCACCAGAAACCGTTGTTATCAAGGAACAAGCAGAACATGAAACATCTTGTGCAATAGATGACAGTAATCTCTCAAATTCCAAAATGAAGCCACTTTTATTAGAAGCAACATCAGTGAGAGTACCAAAAGAAGAACCTGGTACACAACTGAGGCTAAGCGATTATTGTTCAACTGAAATCAAATTAGATATTCAAGAATCAGAATCAAATGTTCCTCAAGAAGCAGCGAAACCTCACACTTCATGTATGATGAAATCAGATGAATTGAGTGATGCTTGGATGAGTGCGTTAGATGAACCATTGGTGTTTGATGTTGATGAAGATGATGAGGATTATGGAAATGTTATTGTGACTTCACCTTCTTCAAGGAGCATTGAAACAGATGATGCACTGGTTAAAATTCAAGAAGCTGTGATTGCTGCAGTTGAAAGTATTTATGATCGTTCTGAATGTGATCTGAAAGCTGGAACAGTACGGATTGCTCCAAATGATATGCCTTCTGAAGCAGGTCTGAAGAGTGAGACAATTCCTACTCTTGAAAATGGTGTATATTCTGACTCTGTGCGGAAGACTGAAGGAATCACTGCAGTTGGGAAGGATATACTTTCTGAACCTGATGTAAAGACTGAAATGACCCATGCTATTGTAAATGATGTGCTTTCTGAACCTGAAACAACCCAAACAGTTGCAAAAGATATGAATCCTGAAAGTGGTCAGAAGACTGATGTAATCCCTATGGTTTTGAATGATGTGCTTTCCAAACCTGGGATGAAGGCTGCAACAGTCACTGAAGTTGCAAATGATATGTCTAAAACATGCCTGAAGAGTGCAATCGTTCCTACTCTTCCAAGTGATGTGCTTTCTGAATCTGGCCAGAAGATTGAAAGAGCCTCAACAGTATCAGATGATATACTACCTGAACCTAGTTTGAAGACTGAAACAGTTGCTGAAGTCATAAATGATGTACTGTCTGAACCTTACCTGATGACTGAAACACATACTACAGTCGTTGATAAAGTGGTGTATGAACCTGACATAATGACTGAAGCAGTCACTGAAGTTGTGAGTGGGGTGATTTCTGATCCTGATATGAAGACTGAAACTGCAAATGATCCGCTTTCTCAACCTTTCCTGATGACAGAAACAGTTACTGCAATAGTGAAGGATGTGACATCTGAACCTGGACTAAACAGTGAAACAGTCAGTTCAGTTACAATTGATATGATGCATGAACTTGGTCTAAAGATGGAAACTGTAAAAGATATGGTTTCAGAATCTGATCAAGTAACTGAAACAGTCACTACAATTTTTAATGATGTGATTTCTTTACCTGGCCTGATGCCTGAAACAGTTGTAAATGATGCAGTTTCTGAATCTGCCCTGATGACTCAGGGAAACATTAAAGTTTCAAATGATGAGATATCTGAAGATGGCCTGATGACTGAAACAGTCACTATGGTTGGGGATGGTGTAGTTTCTGAACCTGGCCTGTTGACTGGAACAATTGTTGCAATTTCAGATGATGTGGTTTCTGAGCCTGGCCTGTTGACTGAAACACTGACTACAGTTGCAAATGATGTTATTTCTGAATCCAGTCTGTTGACTGAAACAGTCACTTCAGATACTGGTGTTGAGATTTCTGAACCTGTCCCATTGGCTGAAACAGTTGCTACAGTTTCAAATGATGTGATTTCTGAACGTGGCCTGTTGACTGAAACACTGACTACAGTTGCAAATGATGTTATTTCTGAACCTAGTCTGCTTACTGAAACAGTCACCTCAGTTACTAGTAATGTCATTTCTGAACTAAGCCTATTGACTGAAACAGTTAGTACAGTTTCAAATGATGTGATTTCTGAGCCTGGCATGTTGACTGGAACACTGACTACAGTTGCAAATGATGCTATTTCTGAACCTAGTCTTTTGACTGAAACAGTCACTTCAGTTACTAGTGATGTGTTCTCTGAACCTGGCCTATTGACTGAAACAGTTGCTACAGTTTCAAATGATGTGATTTCTGAACCTGGCGTGTTGACTGAAATAGTTGCCACAGTTGCAAATGATAAAATTCCAGGAGCTGACCTCTTGACTGAAGCACTGACTACAGTTGCAAATGATGTGATTTCTGAACCTAGTCTGTTGACTGAAGCAGTCCCATCAGATACTGGTGTTGTGATTTCTGAACCTAGTCTGTTGACTGAAACAGTCCCATCAGATACTGGTGTTGTGATTTCTGAAGCTGGCCTATTGACTGAAACAGTCCCATCAGATACTGGTGATGTGATTTCTGAACCTAGTCTGTTGACTGAAACAGTCCCATCAAATACTGGTGTTGTGATTTCTGAACCTGGCATGTTGACTGAAACAGTCCCATCAGATACTGGTGATGTGATTTCTGAACCTGGCCTATTGACTGAAACAGTCCCACCAGATACTGGCGTTGTGATTTCTGAACCTGGCCTATTGGCTGAAACAGCCCCATCAGATATTGGTGATGTGATTTCTGAACCTGGCCTATTGACTGAAACAGTCCCATCAGATACTGGTGTTGTGATTTCTGAACCTGGCCTATTGACTGAAACAGTCCCATCAGATACTGGTGATGTGATTTCTGAACCTAGTCTGTTGACTGAAACAGTCCCATCAAATACTGGTGTTGTGATTTCTGAACCTGGCATGTTGACTGAAACAGTCCCATCAGATACTGGTGATGTGATTTCTGAACCTGGCCTATTGACTGAAACAGTCCCATCAGATACTGGCGTTGTGATTTCTGAACCTGGCCTATTGGCTGAAACAGCCCCATCAGATATTGGTGATGTGATTTCTGAACCTGGCCTATTGACTGAAACAGTCCCATCAGATACTGGTGTTGTGATTTCTGAACCTGGCCTATTGACTGAAACAGTCCCATCAGATACTGGTGATGTGATTTCTGAACCTAGTCTGTTGACTGAAACAGTCCCATCAAATACTGGTGTTGTGATTTCTGAACCTGGCATGTTGACTGAAACAGTCCCATCAGATACTGGTGATGTGATTTCTGAACCTGGCCTATTGACTGAAACAGTCCCATCAGATACTGGCGTTGTGATTTCTGAACCTGGCCTATTGGCTGAAACAGCCCCATCAGATATTGGTGATGTGATTTCTGAACCTGGCCTATTGACTGAAACAGTCCCATCAGATACTGGTGTTGTGATTTCTGAACCTGGCCTATTGACTGAAACAGTCCCATCAGATACTGGTGATGTGATTTCTGAACCTGGCCTATTGACTGAAACAGTCCCATCAGATACTGGTGATGTGATTTCTGAACCTGGCCTATTGACTGAAACAGTCCCATCAGATACTGGTGATGTGATTTCTGAACCTGGCCTATTGACTGAAACAGTCGCTTCAGTTACTAGTGATGTGATTTCTGAACCTGGCCTATTGACCAAAACAGTCACTGCAGTTACTAATGACATGATTTCTGAATGCAGCCTGTTGACTGAAACAATCACCACTACAGCTGTTTCGAATGATGTGATTTCTGAACCTGTCCTGTTGACTGAAACAGCCACCACAATTGAAAATAATGTGATCACTGAATGTGGTCTCCTAACTGAAACAGTTACAGTAGTTGCAACTGATGTGATCTCTGAACCTGATCTGTCGACTGAAACTACCACTGCAGTTTCAGAAGTGAAGTCCTTTGTGCAACCAAGTGATGCATTGCTTAACAACCCTGATGTAATGCCTCAATTTTCTGAGGAGCTTGCAGATACTTGTTCAGATGCTTTAGAAAAACCAGTGGTGTTTACAGATGATGGCCAGGTCTCTGTAGAGGGGTTTGATTCTGGAGTAAGAATGCCAGAGACTGCTCTGCAGAATTTCTCTTTGTCCAATGAGGTGGTGTTAGAAGATATAAACATTCCAATTACAGAACTTCCTGCAAGAGGTATCTGCCATAATTCTTTTACTGCTGAGCTCATTGTTCAGGAATTCAAGCCAAGTTATTATCTGTGTAGAGATGCTGAAATATACTGGCAAGAAAAAGTGGCACGAGAGCTGAAGCAAGTTCCATTTACTCTCCTGGAAAGTCAGGAGAAACATGAAATGAAACATTCACCAGAGAAGCCACTAGAAGGTAAAGAAGCAGTTCCTGTCACAACAACAGAGCAGCACAAGTCAGAGGCACAGTTGGATGAAAGCTCTAGGAAAAGACATGATTTTGAAGTCCCAGTATATGACATGCATATTTTACTGGATACTGAAAGAAGATGGCATGAATTTAAGACAGTGGCATTGCTGCGAGAACAAGAAACAGTCTCAGAGAAAGCAGAAAGTGCAGTTTCCCATGCAGAGAAAGAGGTTTCAGAATCTACCAAGGAACATTATGTAAAGACTCAAGTTATAAATCCAGACAGTCCTACTCAGAGTGTAAAGGAAACTGTTTTACCTGAAACACTCACAAACATTTCCAAAAAATTTGCTGAAGCAGAAATTCGTGGGAGTAATTCTGTATTAGATACCAATAGACCACAAGTACCTTTCTGTCAAAATACTGAAGAAGTTACGAAGGTTGTTGAGGAGCAGTATATTGATATACCTAATTCAACACCTGATTTACAAGGAAGTACTGAATTCATGGAGGACAGGAACACACAATTCAGCAGTCCAGAAACTCATGAAACACAACTGAAGCCTGATGGTATTGGATTCTCATTTGCAACCAAGAGAGAGAAAGCAGAACTTCCGTTTAATTTGTACAAAGAAAATGTATGGCTAGAGTCATTCAAATTCCTTGATGCTGAAAGAGAATGGAGAGCGCTTCATAGTGAAGTTTCAAGTAAAGAACTTGCATTTGAAGAGGACAGTGCAGGTATAGGAACAATTGATGTACTGAAATCTCTGGAATCAGCAAGAAGTGGAGACATTTCTGATGGAGAATTGCTTCAACAACAGCAACAAATAGAAATTATGGATGTCAAATTTGACACAAGTGGCACATTGAAACTTGAGTCAGCAGATATTCCTTCATCACAAGATGCTTCTCAGGAGCTGGAAATGAAGTTAGTTTCTGAACTGCCTGAAGATTCAAGAGATATCTCTTCATCGCTAGTTATGCCCCAGGACCAAGAACTAAGGGCTGTAAGTTGTGAACTGACTAAAGAATCAACAGACCATATTTCTCAATCACAAGATGTTTCTCAGCAGCCAAAACTGAAGTCAAGTTCTGAGCTGACTGAAGATGAAATACAGTTCGTTTTACACCAAGATCACAGAGCAGATAAATCTAATTGTCGGTATGATATAGTTGGGATTCATGATGCAGTGAGGCAACATCAGGAGCAAGTTGAAAGTGAGTTGGAAAACGGTTTTGAAGATAAGGCTCAGCTCAAGCAAAAAGAAGTAAAAATTCAGGGAGTGCCAGAAGGTTACTGCGCAGAAAGTGTTTACAGTTATTATGATGTATTTGGACTTCGTGATGCGGAGAGGAAACATCAGGAAAAACTTGCCCTCTCAGAAGCTACAGAGACTGAAACTAATACATTGACAGATGTAACATCTTTGGTGGAAAATAATTTAGAAAATTTTGATGCTCAAGTTGAGAATTTTAAAAATAAGGAAGAAATTATATTTCAGACCGAGTTTGCCGGTGGAACTGTGAGAACTTTGGCTTCTCTAGCAGCGTGTAAAATGTCTGATTCTCTACAGGGGGCAAGTTACAAAGAAAAATCACTTGAGATTGCAGTTTTAAATAAAAATTCTGTTAGTAAGTTGAGCGACTTGCAAGAGCCTTCACAACATTTAGTTCGTGTGTGTGTTGCAGAGGTTGAAAAAGACGATACAAATGTGCCTGTGGTTGAAGTTGATCCAGAGGGATTCATGAAATTTGTACCAAAGAGGGAAATGAGGAAACGTAAATCACGATCTAGGTCCAGGTCTTGTTGCAGGGATGATGTCATTCATGAAAAACCGCAAGAAGTTGTATCTGTTATTAATGTTCGAAGAAGGGAAGGTAATGTTCAAACCAAAGAAGATTATTCTGTAAAGGAGCATGCTATGAGTTCGGTTACCTTTGAGTCCTCGGGAGAGATTTCTGTACCTCATGCATTCGATACTGAAAGTAAAGAAATGGGCAGTGTTGAGCTTTACACTACAGGGGAGGATAAATCAGGCGTTATTATGGCACAACCAAAATCTGGTAAGGAAGGACAAAAACCAACTATTATATCTGAAAAGGTTCAAGGTGAGATGGGAAAAAAGAGGAAGCGGAGGCCTGCGAAGTCTCCAGCACATCAGGTACCTAATGACAGTGAACGGAAGAAGCCGCTTTCTGAGTTTGAACAGGGAGTGGAAGGCATTGGGCACTCACTTGTAAGGGAGAAGATTCTTCAGCATTGTTTGTCATTAGATGGAGCATTCTGGCCAGACAAATGGCAGTGTCATGATGCTGAATGTCAGTGGCAGGAAGCAGTAGCTCAGTGCCAGAAACCTGTGCCAACCTCTGCCTCGACACAAGTCAAATCCGATGAAACACGTGATCGCAGAGATGATTCTGATGGTGGAAATAGTGGAAACAGTTCTCCAGGACCACATACACCCAAAGGAGGTGGTGGCAGTGGAAGGCTAGGTCCATCAGATGTTACAACAGAACAACTAAGCGCCGATCTGCCAGGTGGAATTTGCAGCTGGCCAGGTGAGAGCACTTACCTGAGTGTTCCCGATACGTTAGTTATCTATCCGAATGAACAAAAGGCAACTGAGGATGAAGAATTGTTGGCAGCAGAGGAGGAACTTACATCCCGCCTAGCACATAAAGTAGCCGAAGAAGTCTTCACAGATTTGGATGATGAACAAGAACCAGAGTGCCCCTTGTATTCTTCCCCTTCTGCAACCCAGGAAGCTCAATCCAGACGCGGGAAGGATGACGGCGCAGCCATCTTTGTGGTACAAATGAAGGTCGGAGATCTCAGAAACCCCCTATTCTCCATGTGTTACTGTTGTGTGTTTCTACGTGCTTTACCCCCTGCCCCCCCACCAGAATGCTCTGTACAAACAATAAAAATTGCGAATGGTCTGTTCAGTATGGGATAATACTTCCTTGGTGGTACTGATGATTTTTGCTGGTAGCACAGTTCACTAATCACTAATGCTTTTTTTTTTTTGGTGTGTTTTCTGTTGTTTCATTGGCCATGTAAGGACAGTTTGATGGACCCAATGTACCTCATTCTAGAACTTAGAGTGTTATATGGAAAAGTGATGAAATTTTTCCTTTATTGTTTTATACGGTTAGTAGTCCTCATACACAGAGTATTAGGTAAGTTAATCAAATTAAGAAAATTCAAAACTGTTCTAGTATGTCATTATTTCTAGTAATGACTTTTGTTGTAAAAAGAAAAGGAAATGCACTGTTATTATGGGATAAGTCTCTGAATGAGATATATTGACTTCCATGGATCTTTGAATTTTTATATTTGCTCATGCCTGATGTATTAGCTGTAAGATTTTTTTCAAGATTATTTAATTGGTTTATTGGTTTTGTGTAGACTTAAAATAATTTGTTACGGCATATATAATGAGTTGGCTTGCGCTTTTATTTTCTTTCCCAGCAGTTAGCAGTAAAAGCTGCTAACACAGCAAGCATGTAACAAACGATGGTGTCATCTGAAACATTGCTGATACCCGTATACTGCTGGTGTGTGATGCTTTGGGTTCTGTCTTATGGTCACTTCTCACACTAAGTTCCTGCTTTACCTGATGCTCAACATGATGCATAAATTTGCATGTGTTTTAATATTTGTCAGTTTTTGTTTGCGGCATGATTCAGTAGTTCTATATGATAATATGAATTGAGTATAATTCATCCCATTTTACCAGTAATTGTATGAGATGATACGAAAAATTTTATGTTTGTTCATTTATCATGTCTTTTCCTTTTTTTATTTCAGTCCTTTTATGGTTGCTATTTTTGTTTTTCTCTCTCACAATAATGTAGGATATCCTGTTCATGAGACGGGGTCAACCTTTCCCCTGGATCTCCTCCTCCTCCTCCNTCATCATCATCATCATCATCATCATCATCTAGACAGCAGCCTTTTATTTTACTGTAGAAAGTTTTAGTGTAAGTATATAATGTAGTTGGCTGATTCTGTTATGCTCTCTTGACTGAATGAAGCTTCTACATAATAGGTTCTTTATAATAGCATTTGTCCCTCATATGTTGTTGGCATGTTCAAGTGACTTCACTTTCAAACTCTGAAACAGCAAATGTCCAATTGCAGGTATTGACATCAGATTTGGTTGCCCTTCAACAGTCTGTGGCCAAGTCAGAAGTTGAACTCAGCTGCCTACCTGCAGACAGTTTGACAAGCATGTTTGATGCCTTATTGGTAAGTGATGTGTATAAGTTCGGATCAAAAAAATATTAAGACTTTATACATATCTCAGATGAAGTGCTGCTGCATGGTCATGCATGTTTACCATTCATTCATTTATTTCACTTCCCCGTGATTAGAAAATTAATTTTGTATGTTATTTCCATGTGTTAGTTTAATGGTGTTAAGTACAGAAAAACGTACATACATTTAGTTTTGAGAGGTTCAGAAAGAGATGATGAGTTGCTACAAGTGGGGTTCGGTAATGTTGGAGTGAAAAGCAGCTGTGAAATAACACAAAATTGTCAGTTTGTAAAATTATTGGGTAGGAATTTTTAATCGTTCTTTGAAGGCTATATATCTAGCCCCAATGCTTATTCTGTGACTTCTGGCACAGAAGCAGAGATAAAACCCCATGTCCATGGCTTATAACTTTCTGGAATGTGCAGAAATTGATGAAAATTTCTTAAACTATCATAACAGTTAATAAAAGCTGGGTGTAGGGTGTAACTCCAAAATTAAGCAGCAGTCATGATGAAGGAAATTTGTTCATCATGAAAATAGAAAATCTCACCAGGTATACAGCAAAATCGGTACGAAGAAGATTATTCCTTTAAATTACAAGGTGTTATGCACCATGGGTATGCTCCCACATTTTAGACTGATAACCAAAATGTCTCCTACAAGTGCTGAGGTGCTACCACTATGCAGTCCAGAAATGACCACAAAAGTGGGATACCTGCAAGTGACATATTCAGTGTGACAATGAACCTTCCCATTAATCCTAGTTGATGTAGCAAGTTTTAGATGAACACAGGATTTACAGGAGTGGCAGATTCTCTGCACTGTGGATATGGCTCTTTGTGCCTCTTATTCTGTTCCTAAATTGAAGGTGCCTCAAAAGTCATATGATTCGTAGAAATAACTGAACAAAATGTACTGGATCAGATGTTGACAGTTCCAAAACTGAATTTCAGAGTTGCTTCTAGCACCATCAATAATTGTGGTGAATTGTGCATGTCGTGATGGAACCTAAGCTGAAGTAAGTTAACTTGCAATCCCTAGACATTCGATTCCCAATAAGGTTATTTGATTTTCAGTTGACCTAATCCTTCCAGCCACACTATGGCCCTGGGGTCTACTCATGCTCTGACAGATCTGACAGATATGAGTAACTACAAGATGAAATTAAGAAGGCTAATTTATGTTTCCTTCTTTTGTTGGGTTTTATAGGTTGTATAATAATCTACTCTCAGAAGAGTTAAATTAATCAAATTAAATGGGATAAAATGTAAAAATTGTAAATTTTCTGTCATGAACCTACTCCTCCTACTCTGATAATATTCCACCTAAATATATTTAGCTGTGTGGAACAAGGAAATATATTTTAACTACATGTATAATACTTAGGTGTTATTGGAAATAAGTAATAAATTCAACAGTAATTGTTGAATTTGCATTTCAGAAATTGTTGGACGATCTTCAACTGAAGGAGCAGGAAGCTATAAGACTTGAACATGTCTTGAGGGATCTGCCACCTGATGCAGAAACACAGTCACTTGAGGCAACTCTGGCTGGGGTGCGAACTCAGATTGTCACATTGATGTCTCAGATAGAGCAAGGCAAGACTACAGTTGAGGTATGTATTTAGTGAGGTATGTTAACTGTTTTGTGTACAAATTAGATTTTGAAGGTTCAGTCTAAATATTTATACATGTGTTCTATATGGTGGTTCGCTGACAAGTGGCGGTTGCTTGGTCGGTATAGTTCGCTTGTGGACTAAAATCATGTGGAGTTTGTTTTGTTTGTTTGTTCTATATGGTGATGTGATCAAACCACAAACATTAACATCACAGGTGAACATTAACAAGATAGTAGTGAATATATAGGTAAAGTTTGAAGTGTAATGTAACTTCAAACTAAAGCATGTTTCTCCCCCTTCCCCTGTATGATTAGCATGTCCTTCATGCAGTGCCCACCATTTGTATCTGTCATTGTTAGGATGGCTGGGATTTAATTTCTGGCAGGGGAAAGATTTTTCTCTCGTCCACAGCATCCAAACCGGCCTTGGGGCCGACCCAGCCTCCTATCCGATGGGTGCTGTGTGATTTTTCTGGGAGAGGGGGGTAAAGCGGCAGGGCTTGAAGTTGACCACTTCATCTAGTGGTGAGGTTAAGAATTATGGAGCTATAACCCTCCTCCCCAACACATCTTCACGGTGTGATGCCTAATTAATTAAGCACAGGGACAACTTTTTTTTACCTGTCATTGTTAGTGGATTTGAAAGTATCCTCGATTGTCAGTGCACTGTTGTACTTAATGTATGTCATAAAGAAAGGTGACTAGACTCTTGTATAGTGTACAGTACTGAAAAGCATTAACTCTTTTGCAGTAATGTTAAATTATATTCCTATAACATATCCATTCAGAATTTAAAATGGGGTCCTGAGAGTTGTAGTAGCTTGAATGTTGTATCTGGACATTACAGTCACTTGTGAAACAGATTAGCAAGCATAGTTTTTTTAAATACCACAGTATTCTGTTAAATAGGTACTGTGTTCTTGTGTTTATTGTTTGCTATACTTTGATAGCAGCAAGTTTTCTTACTACTGTTGATGTCAAGCAGGTGGCACAAGGAATCCAAGAAAAACGTCTAAAAGAAGTAATGCAGTATCAGACATTATTAACAGATCTGGAGCAGTGGCTTGTTACCGTGAATGCTTCCCTTCGTATTGAACAACCCACATCACCAAAAGTCATTAAAGGTCAACTTGTTGCTTATGAGGTTAGTAGAGCTCTTCCTTAATGTGATTTTGTAATATGTGTCAACAAAACTTTCATTTGTATATTCTTTTTGCTGGTATGTTGGGCATTGTCAGCATTTTGGGAGCTGGTTCTATTTCCTACATCAAGTGATGATAGTTAAGAATCTTATTCCATTAGGCCACTTTGTTTTTGTTTTAAGAAGAAAAAATGAATGGTATACAATGTCTGTATGCCAGAGGGAAGATTGTTGTACGAGATCATCAGAAAGTTTCAGTTTTATATTATGTGTTTGTTATCTTACCAGATTAACATGTATTAATTGTTAAGCTAGTATAAAGTATGGAGTGTACATTGAAGAGGCGTGTTTGGCAGACAATTATGAATGACATGCTGAGGTTCAAAGTCTAGTGTTTATTGCTGTAAACTAAAACATTTGAAGTTATATTCAGATAAATTCAAAAATGTAATATTGTCTGGTGTAAAATTATATTATAATTAAATATAAAAATGTATACGTAGAAATATTGGACTGTAAATTCAGATTGGGAGAAAATCGTTTAGTTATTGAGAACAAGAGACTTTATCTTCGCATGTGTTTAGAAAACTGTTGTTGATTGTTTGGTAGTTAGTTAGTTATTTAGAGAGGGTGGGTTTTCCCATGCACCGCGACCAGTTTGATCTATTGCGCTTCCCTCTATGATATTCTACCAGTCTCTATACCCTACCGATAAATGGTGCGTAACATCAGTCCCGCTGAGCAAGCGAGTTCGGCCACTTGCTTAGCGGTGTCTATAATGCTTCCCCCATCTATCAGAGGCCTTAGAGACTATTGTTGGGCGGGAAACGTCCTAGAATTTGGCTCCGTGCTCCCGTTTGGGGGTCTGAG